CCTTTAGCGTGGGAATCGCAAAACGCCAGTTGTCGCATGGTTTTGTGTTAAAAGTATCGCAAAACCAGACTAAGTGTAACCACATCTATCTTCTCGTAACTGTCTTGAGGAAACATTTACGTAAAAAATTGAAATTATGTTATTATGTGCACAGATGGGGTCGGAGGACTCCGCTGCTCGTCGCTATCGTCGTGCAGGCAGTCATGGGCGTTATCACCGCGTTCGCGCCCTTCCTGTCTGTCTTCATGATCCTGAGATTCTTGGTGGCCGTTGCCACAGGTGGCACCATGGTTGTCAGCTTCGTCATCTGTACGTTTACTGAATGTATTAGTTCACCATCGCCATAAACCGATGAAACGAAAAGTGCAACTAACGTACACATGCATGTGCTCAAAACTTTGTTGCACACTTTCAAGTGTTTGAGTGGTTGACTGGATATTATAATACTGACAAGTGTTAAGCAGCTGCACACTTAGTTCATCAGTAGAATGTCAGTACTTGTCGGCAGCCGGGTTTAATTACCTCGCTGCCACACTGGTGGTTTTCAAGGCCCCTAGTCAACCTGTCACATGAGACGCCTGGAAGTAGGCAACACACATGACATCGCTGACTGGTGACCTCAACACGTGTCAACGCGTAACTACTACCTTTTTCCAACAGGCATGGAGGTGGTGGGAGGGCCATGGCGCACCGTGGTACCCATTCTGTACCAAATCCCTTTTTCGCTCGGGGTGTTCTTCATGGCCGGTGTTGCGTACTACCTGCGAAGCTGGCGTGACCTGCAACTCGCCCTCGGCCTATGCTCCGTGCCCTTCGTTCTCTACTACTGGTCAGTAGACACCATGTATCGTCAGTAGACTTCTGCTAGCCGCCCATCGTGTACTCAGAAACGCGGTTTCTTAATATAAAAATAAAAATACTTGTGAATAATACAAAAATATTACTACTCGAGGCTTCAGGCAAACAACTCTTGATCAAGGGCAGTACAGGGTGGTCCAGAGACCTCTTCATTTAATTTGCTTATACTGTACCGCGGATGCAGGCTTGCGGCCGGGTTGCATACTTGAACGGCGCCGCTGAGCGATGGTATAAGCAAGCCGGCCCACATGCGTGCATGCGGTACAGTATAAGCAAAATAAAGAAAGGATATGTGGGCCACCCTGGACATTCGTTACCCAAAGGCAAAATGTTGCCAAGAACAAGATCATTTCCCTTCTTTTTTTAGAAGTACGATTTTTGAGTGCGAATGTGCGACCCTTTGCGGATTACGAGCCGTAACGCGCCAATTTTCACACACAGGTTGATTCCCGAGTCCCCGCGCTGGCTGCTAGCCGTGGGGCGCGACCAGGAAGCCATCGCCATCTTGGAGGAAGCGGCCAGGATGAACGGCATGGCTGAGGTGAACGTGAAGGCCCTGCTGCTGCAGTCCAGGGCTGCCAGGGCGGCGGCGGGCCGGTTGCCGCGCGACCAGGGTGCGGCCGCCCCCGTCATCAGCGGGCTGCTGCGGACTCCGCGCCTCCGCCGCATGACGCTGTGCCTCTTCGTCACGTGGTTCGTCACCGGCCTTGTCTTCTTCGGCTTCTCCGAGTTCCAGGGCCAGATGGGCGGCGACATCTTTGTGAATGTGGCCATATCAGGTGAGTACTGGCAGTTGAGCAAATGCATGTGTTTTTTGGAACTAAACTGACAACTCTTGTCTCAAGTCTTCGGAGAAGCTCAATTTATCATTATCACTACAGAAGTGATAAGAGTCAATCCGCGCCATACCTATAGAGCCTAAACCGTCACGAGTTCCAGAACTTCGCTAGCGTCTTATCTAATACTAAACCAGGCCAACTGTGAATCCTGTCCACATGACTGAGACCTTGTTGGCTCGGCTTGGAATATACCATAAGAAAAAGAGACTTTCTCCAACTGTTACTAATGTCTGCCGCAGGTCTTATCTCGGTGCCTGGCCCCGTGCTGTGCGCCGCGCTGGTCCGTGTGCTCGGGCGCCGCGCCGTGGTGCTCGGGTCACTGATCACTTCCTCGGCAGCCACCCTGCTCATCCTGGTCGTGCCCCCAGGGGTGCTCTGGGGACGCCCGCTACTCGCCGGGATCTCCTTCTTGGGGCTGTCCGTCACCTTCGCCGCGCTCTACCTGTACTCAGGCGAGCTGCTGCCCACAGTCGTTCGAAACGTGGGCATGGGCGCGTCCTCGATGTGCGCGCGAGTGGGCTCCATGCTGGCGCCCTTCGTGGTCTCCCAGCGAGTGCACGGGGACTCGGTGCCGCTGTTAGTGCTTGGGCTTCTCCCTCTCGTCGGCGCCGCCCTGCTCTTCCCGCTGCCCGAGACCATGGACTGCGTTCTGCCCGAGTCGCTGCAGGACGGCGAAAACTTCTGCCGGTAAGCGCCGGGGCGCTAGGCCACACATCGTGCATGGCTGTTGTGTTGGTGATGCTAGTCAATGCATGTGCAATTCGATGTGCCAATTCAGAATTTTGAGGGAGAGGAACGGTGATGGGGACGAGAAAGAACGGGGGGTTTGTTTCGTTTAAACCTAACTTTACGATGGATAAACCAAAACAGTTCGCAGTTTTAAGAAGTCATGGTATGGAATTTTATTGCGATAAATTGCTATACGATTATGTGGTTAGGACAGCTAGAGGTGACGTTATCGCGCATGAGGACAACCGCAGTATAGTCTCACTGACGCAGTTTTATACTGTGAAGACGACAAAGGCTCGGAAGGCATGCCCACATTGTGGCCATAACCATTCGAGTACTGTCAACAGGCATTGCTTTGGCTGCTAGCAGAGGGACATCATTGGCGTTTGGCTGCACTAATGAACTAAATGTGCAACTGCTCAACACTAGTAAGTGTACAACTGCAAGTTGAATACTTGCAAGTGTTTAACTGCAACTACGTAGTAGTACACTTGCAAGTGTATAACTCCGTAATTGTTCAGTTGTACACTGATATATAAAGTGTGCAACTGACACACACTTTAAAGTGTTTAACACCGTGTGGCATACTGCTATGTGTGCCACACGAGTTTTGAATAGTTGGAAGTGTTCAACAGGTGTGTTGCACACTTTTTAGTGTTCAACCTGACCGTCGAGCACTATAGCTCAACGCTCAAGTTGAACACTAAAAAGTGTGCAACGCTCAAGTTGAACACTAAAAAGTGTGCAACACACCTGTTGAACACTTCCAACTATTCAAAACTCGTGTGGCACACAGTATGCCACACGGTGTTAAACACTTTAAAGTGTGTGTCAGTTGCACACTTATATATATCAGTGTATGTGTGGAACTCTCCTCTTGAACACTTCCTTAGCTTGTTGCCCACAACCCACCAGAGCGGTTGCACACTCTCAATTGCACAACTACCGAGTTAAACAATTGCAAGTGTACTACTACGGAGTTGAAGACTTGAAAGTGTTCAACTTGTAGTTGCACACTTGGTTTATCAGTGTGTTCGTTCCGTGAAAGTGAAACGAAGAGACAGTAGGTTAATTTACGGATCGCTGTGCAATGGTATAGTTTTGAGGTGAGATGTGAGGCGGGCACAGAGTCAAGGCCGCGAGACCCAAAGACAAACATATTAGCGAGCGCTGTTGAAGTTGAAGTCCTTCCGCCCTACCGCGGTTTCGGTTGATTCTTGCCAAGTTTTCCTGCAACGCGACACGTGGGCACTTTGCGGGCGCCCGCACGTAAAAGCTCCACGGGTTGAGGAGGGAATGATGGGTCACAGAAGTATTATCACTTCGATAAGAAACTGCTAGAAAACGCCAACATTTACCAAGAAAGAAGAAAAAACTGTTCATGCTAGCCTTGTACATAGTTTGTTGTACAAGATCAAAAAAGGTTATAAGGACGATTCTTGTTAAAACAAAGGGGTTTGGGGTTTGGGATCAAAGATGAAGTGCCCTAACCACACGAAACTATCGATTATAACTGTCGGAAATATCGAATAACGTAGTCGACGACAACTCCTTCTTACTGGGGCTGCGGGGGTATAACTCGATAGATTTAGAGGGCTGCGTAAAAATATGAGCAGGAATCGGAAAGTTTTAGAACGCCTTGGTCTTTAAAGGCAATCTGCGGGCATGATAAAATACGAAAGCAACGGCTTGGTTCTTTCAACTTAGAATCACATAAACAATAGCTGAATTTACAGAATGGAAAGTAGTGCATTTTTTCCTTGTTACAGGAGGCGCGCGAAAGAGGACCTGCAAAACTCCAACTACATACAGGTGCCTCTTAAAGACGTAACGCTCACCGAAGAAGGCTGACTAATATCAAAGAGTATTAATTAGTTTCTACACACTGGTATTATT